TGTCCAAACTATGCCAATTTTCTGTGTCCGAACTATGTCAGTTCGAAAATAACTCACTTCGACTACTGCATATTTTTATTCCATGTTTGAAAATCAGCACTTTACGTAAGAAGGCAGCAATGACGCGATTATTACTAATTACCTTTCAAAGGTAGCGACCAGGAATGATGTAAGACGCGGTTTTTTTGACGAAAGGCGGCATTAATCAAAGCTTATCGAGAGTACCTGGCTTGGCACAGCATCTAAGTCAAACATGACAAAGTATTCTTCTTCACCACCCTACAATTTGTTTCTTCAAAGCACAGCTGAAGCGATTTTGTATGCCGTCGTTGTAAGCTTCTTTCTGAGTTCTGGATCTTTTTGAGTATTCGCTTATTTTTTTTTGATGATAAGAATCCGGTCTTGCCCACAATTTCGCATAAAAAGAGGAATTCGAGCGAATAGTACAGATGGACTAGGAAATATGGGAACAATAAAAATGGGGAGCCCTGTCGGTAGTAGTGCGCAATTATTAGCGCGGCTCTTCCATCTCACTAATGACGATGCACTTTCTGCAAACTATATAAGGTAGCAGAGTGGACCCACTTGCTCGTGTATCTTGCTGTATTTTAGGGCTACTACCATCAAATATTACGATTTTAATATTCACCATGCTTGTTCATATAAATTATATAGGGTAAAAACAGTTAACTCTTCAAAATAGGGTAAAGTAGCTGCAATGGCCTTTCAAAACAAAAATCGCTTCAAGTTTTTTCTTTTTTCTCTCATTGTTTGCGCACGAACTCTTAGTCACAGCTAGAAAATTGCCACGCTTTTTCCTTAACTTTTACACAAATATTCAGTGAACTCCAATGAGAAAGTCCATTATGCATTGACGCCATTCAAGCTAAATATATCTGAACAACCCGCAAAGAACAGTAAAATAGAAGTTTGGTTGACATACGCTTGTAAGCGTTCCTCCATGGACAAATACTTCTTTTATTGAGGAATGTTTAATTAAATTAATAAATTCGTAAAAGTCAACGAATATTCTCCGCAACGGCTATTTTTCGGTAAAATTAAACTGCAATTTAAGTTCCATAACTTTTTGTATAATAAATTTTGTGTAGCTATGCGGAACAGAACAACTGGCCTGAATGAGAAAGTTATCCTGAAACCATGGCCATAATTTTGAAGATAAGAAAACAAAGCTGAAAATTCTTACTTTCGAGATATAAAATTTTTTGACAATTTCTAAACAATTTTTGAATTTCAGACAACTTTGATCTGTTGTTCCAATGTCCACTTCTCTCTTTCTTATATGAGTATCCTCCTCTAAATTTCATGCTCTGCCTGTTCGTAGTGTAACTAACCGTGCTTACCATAAAGAAATCAAAGTTTACCTATTGCAGAATAGATTACAAATGGGATCAAGTATGGGGAAATGTTCCTATGGTGACGATCCATACTACAAGCGGAGACGAAAGACAGGTGATGAAACAATAAAATTTTCTGCCTGTGTTTAATGATAGTTTTCAGAGATAGGCGACAACTTTTCAAAAGAGTACTCAGAATACTGGCGATGTCCTCCGCGGAAAAAGACTTCCGATACGTTTGTTATCGAGAGAAACGAGTACACTTTCTCAAATAGTGCAATGTGTGAGTGTGTTTGCTCAAGCAGAATATACCATAGGATGTGTGGAAATTTTATAAAAAATCTGATATATTAATAATTTATATAGTATCAGGTAATTGTC